AAAAAATTTGACCTCTGGACTTTTCTTCGCGGCGAAAATGGCTACCGAATGCTATTTTCGTGTGATAATTCTCGATTTTATTATTCATATTATATTTAACTTTATAATGCTATAACTTATTGAAAAGTTTATGGATCCACACAATTTTTTTATGAGAAATAATTTTTTTTAATAAACCCTTTTTCATTCGACATACTTTATCTTAATCGAGATATTAAGGAACCAGCAAATCAAGTAGCTTTTGGAATAAAACACCAATTTTTTTAAAATTAAACACTATCTAAAGATTTGCATCGAAGCGTTTATTTTTGATAGTGATTTTAATCACTGTCAGATATCATTATACTTGATCCAACTATACTACGTCACAACTGTGCCGCGACCCCCCTGTGCTGGGTTTTTTGTTTTTTTTTTACTATTTTCCATGAAAATTTACATTTGAAAATAATTTTCATGGAAAAGAAATCGCGTATTATTACTAGTAAATAACGTAATAAGACAGTGTTTACTTCCGTACTTCACATATTATGGACTAATATTTGATACCATAGAAAAATTGTAAAAAAGAAACAAAATTTAACAAACTTCAAAATGCTATATAAACGTAACTACTGAATTAAAATAAAAATTTTTAGTATCAAAATATAATTCTATATAGTAAAAATTGATTAAAAAAAAAAGTATAAAATGTTATGTAGATCATAAGTTATATGAGTTTTCAGTTAGATCCGTTCCACTCTGTATATATTTTAACTATTTTATTAAATAAAAAAAAGTAATTGAAAAGTACTTAATGATCAACCGTCATTTAATAATATTTTAGCTTACGCTTTATATAAAGAAAAAAATTTTTAAGATACGTGTATAATTTTTTTTGCTCATAATACACATAAATAACAACCATACAGCGTAAAAAAAATTTTTTTTTAACTACCCGTGTTACGAGAACGCGCGGATGAAGTGAAACTTCTTTCAGAGTTATTCAATTGACATTCCGTTTGTATAAAAATAAAATAAAAAATAGACTTAAAAATTTTATTTTCAATTGAACTTAGTTTAATTTCTTATTATTTTTAATTTTCTTATTCTATTGCCAGGAAAGATATAATTGGATTATGACAACTGAAATGATAAATACTTTATCTTAATCGAGATATTAAGGAACCAGCAGATCAAGTAGCTTTTGGAATAAAACACCAATCTTTTTAAAATTAAACGCTATCTAAAGATTTGCATCGATATGCGTTTATTTTTGATAGTGATTTTAATCACTGTCAGATATCATTATACTTGATCCAACTATACCACGTCACAACTGTGCCGAGACCTCCCTGTGCTGGGTTTTTTAAACCTATAACTAGCGGTATTATATTTAAAGTTATATTTAGCACCCACGAGCCAACATTTTTTGCGTTATGTATTTGAATATTTAATATTTAATTTATTTTTTAATTGTATAGTCATGGTATTGATAAAACACTAATTCTTTATTTATTTTTTATGTAAAGAACTTTTCGCAGCAGTTATGTGAAATGTCTTGCGAAAGAAATCAAAGTTTTTTTATTGTTAAAATACATAATTGCTTGAGTTATCAGTTTTTTCAATTTTTAATGTACCAATCTATAATATTTTGTGAACTCTCTTACCATACAAAAGTTCGTTATTTTATCATTAAAATAACTAACTGAAAAACCCGAGTGTGTTATCAGTCTAGTGGTTTTTCAATAATTTTTACTTATTACTACATAAAAACCTCCTCTCTGAATTATGGTTATTAACAGTTTCACAATTGTTCTTTAAATTCAAATATTTTAAGAGCATGATCCTATATGTATAAAGGTAATATAGAAAGTTTTTTATTGTCATCCCATTCATTCGATTTCGCGACGTGATCGAAATACTAAAGATATTTATCAATATCCGTTTCCACATCTCCCGAATATGTTAACGGTTAGAAAAAATTTGAAATATTTCTATATATTATACACTTATGAACAAAACCAAAATGATAGAAGTTATTATTATGTCCAAACAACAATTGATATTCCAAAAAAAGTTATAATATTATTAATAAAAATTTACTTAAATAATCTGACTGTAACTCGTATACACTTTAGGGGAATTGACTTCGTATATGAAAGCCTTAAAAAGATAGAAAGTATATCTCGGAACTCGATTGAAATACAAAGACTGGTCCATCCATCATATGTTAGGGGGTTGTTTAATACTTGAGAATCTCGGTCAAAACCAAGAATCGGAAGCTACCCGACGTCTGTCCAAATTTTGTCCTTATCTCCTTAAATGAGTTTTAATTACCTGAAGAAGACACAGTCAATCGTGTACCTTAGTTACTAGAGAAATACTATATAATATAGTTTAACTATTGTTTTATGTCAACGACAAAGTAAAGTTATATTTTAGATGTTCAGTAAATATACGTTATGTGTAATGTACAATACGTCTGGCCTGAATGCTAATACAGTTGGTTAGTAGGTATATTTAAGTGAGACGGAGTTTGGCTATGATGACAATTGGCGATAGACGGAGTCATTGAAAAAAAAAGTCCAGTTTTTAATATGTAATATTATATTATTCCTTATAATATTATGTTATATTTGTACATGTATATCACATATTATAAATATATAAGATCACCACAACAGGGTTCTCTTATTTAAAATACAAAATAACCAGTTTATTATGAGATAAAATCTTGTTAATGTAGAGATTTTCAAGTAATGCCTACACGTAGGGCCCCACTACAATTAAAAAATTAGAATAGAAAGAATCAGCTTCCAAGATCACAGTAGGGATCCCTGGTCTACCCTCTTTGGACTATAAAAAGTTATTTTTCCCCATCTAAAACATTTCTTTCGGCGATTTTAAAATACACAAAATTTGTGACACTCTATTCAAGATTTCACTTTCCAGGACTTAGTCGTTTTTTTTTAATTAATTTGTATATAGAATATTTTTTCCTTAAAAAATTAAATGGCACTTAGAAATTTTAGAGTGAATTTTGTTTTGGTGAATCTTTTAATTTAAATTTATTTGAATTTAATTTTGATGTTCGTTTAACCACAAAAACATGTTCAGAGGTATTAATTTTACTAAGATGTGTTTTTTTTTTTTTTTTGTGTCTGTTACCACTTTTTCTCAGCTCTCACCGAACCGATTTCTTTCAATGATACGTCAAAAGATCACAAATCGTATCTAGTTGAAGACATTACCCTTAAAAATTGAAAAAAATTCTCTCGTTCCCCGCAAATGGGGGAAATATGCAAAAAAATTACAAATTTAAAAATCGCTAATTTTCGAAATTTTTTCAATTTTTTTTACTAAAAACTTCCATAACTTTTTGAAAAATCAACAAATCAACATAATTTTTTTTTATACTAAAACCTTAGATATTTACCTTTCATTTTATATTATTTTTTTGAAAATCTATCACTTAACCTGCTCATTAGGGGGGATTTAAAATAGCAACTTTTTTACAAAAATTAACTTTTTCAACTTAATTTTTGAAAATGTTCCGGAAATACTGCGTCCTTCAAACATATATCAAATTAAAGCTTATTTTATGTACTATAAAATGAAAAAAAAAAATTTGTCCCGACACTTTTTCTTCTACATTTAAACGGCTGCCGTAGTTAAAAAAACACTATTTTTGTGTTAAAATTTTCGATTTTCGATTTTAAATTTTCAACTTAAAAATGCTATAACTTTTTGAAAAATGTATATATCAGCACAAATTTTTTTTTTCTAAATACATTATAAGTACATCTTTCATTTGACATACTTTTTATTAAAATTGGACAATTTCCCCTTATATAGGGGGCGTTCAAAACTTAAAATATTGTAAAAAACATAGATCTTTTTCAACTGAATTTTTGAAAGTGTTCCGGAAATACTGCGTCCTTTAAACATATATAAAATTAAAGCTTATTATATGTACTATAAAATAAAAAAAAAAAATTTGTCCCGACGATCTATCTTCTATGTGCAAATGGCTGTCGAAAATTAAAAAAAAATGTAATGTTTGCGATAAAAATTACCTTTTATCGGGATGTTTTTTGTGCTTAAAACTGCCATAACTTTTTCAAAAATTAACAAATAAAAATAATATTTTTTTGTATTAAAACCTTAGATATTTCCCTTTCATTTGATATAATTTTTTTTGAAAATCTACCACTTATTCTGTTCACTGGGAGGATTTAAAATAGTAACTTTTTTACAAAAAATAACTTTTTCAACTTAATTTTTGAAAATGTTCCGGAAATACTACGTCCTTTAAACATGTATCAAATTAAAGCTTATTTTATGTACTACAAAATGAAAAAAAAAATTTGTCCCGATATTTTTTAATATTGTATATTAAGCTATAATTTAAGGTAAATGTGTCGAATAATATTTCCAATACTAGGTGTGACGACTGTTTTTTCATATCGTGGGTTACATTATAAATCATGTAACTATTAATACAGCAGAGAGATAAATAAGAAACATGACCAATAAAATAAATCAAAATAAATTATTTATTTCTATATTTTTAGTTCAATAGAATAGTTGAATAAATGTGCAAAAAACATGTGGTTTGTAAATTATTAAAAATAAAAAATAATGTTTTTGTTATATTTTTAGTTAGATAATTTATTATAACTATTTATTGAGAAATTTAGCAGAAATTAAAAAAAAAAACAACTGCAAAACGTCAAGGCTTATTAATTTATAGACTTAAATTTCAGTTTTCAGTGATAACTGAAACAAAAGAAATCAAGTTTTTACTAGTATTTTTAGAACAATGACGACAATAAAATAATTATATAAAATTAGTTTCTGCATCTTCATCAATAAATAATAGGTTTACTTAGTTTTAAATAAGAATTATTATATATTAAAAACAAATTTTAAATTTATTAAACGCTTTTATATCTATTTTAAAAATACTTAAAAATGACATTTTTCTAAATCAATAAATCAACATAGTAGTGTTATAAAATAAATTTAATTTAAATGAATCTATCATTTCAATTGTTTAACTTAACAGTTTTATTCCAAAATATTGATTTATCAAACCAACAATGTATTTCTATATTTTTATCGTGATGTATCTCACTAGAAGTCTTTCAAACGCATTTCTTTTTTTATATCCACCTATGATAGATCAGGTAAAACGATATCATTTAATTTTTAATAAAAGTAAATTGTTAAGTGTTTTCTAATTAAAAAATTCATTTTGAGGAATAATTAAATGATTATTAAGATGTAGATTATTTTTTATTTTATCTTATATAGATATAGCATTTTTACACAACGTATCAAATTTAGTTCGAATTTGATGTTAGGATAAAAAAAAATTGCCATGGTTTTTATTCGACAATCAAAATCTCATGTATATAATTAGTAATGCGATAATTAAAATGTTGCTCATACTTTAATTTTAAATTATAGTTACCATAACAAAATAATAAACATTTTAGAGGGTTTCTACCTTTTTTTAAAAAAAAAAAAATTAGTGCTTTTCCTTTAAAAAGAAATTTTTCCAAAAATTATTTCAGTTTTTTTTTTTAATTAACTATTCTTATATAAGAAAACGAAAGCACAGTAGGGTCGCAGCACAGTGTAGAAGTGGCATAGTTGGGACAAATATAGATGATTAGTAGCTCTTTCATTTATATGTATTATGTACGAATACATTTTTGTTACTTATGAATAAATACACTGGTCTACAAGGAATTTTCATCACAGACCAGAATATACTTTTTTAAACCTTTTTGCGCCGATTTAAAATTTGCAATTAGATTTTTTCTATCACATATTTTTGAGATTATTACTAATTAGTAATATGAGTGTTTACATATAAAAATAACCCAGCACAGAGGAGTCGTGACACATTGGTGACGTGGCATAGTTGAGTCAAGTGTAATAATATCTGACAGTGTTTAAAATCACTATGATAAAAAACGCTTTCTATGCTATATTAATTTTTTATTTATATAATATTTATGAAAATCTGTACTCCCCTTGTCAGGTATTTTAAAATAAAATAAAATACAAAACCCAGAATTTTAACACAAAAATAGCAAATTTTTGAATACAGTAGTCATTTTTACCGTGAAGACAAATCCAGAGGTCAAATTTTTTTTTTTAAATTAAAGTATATTATATAAGCTTTAATTTAAGATATATATAAAAGTGTCAGTATTTCCGGAATACTTTCAAAAATTAAATTGAAAATATCTTAGTAACAATACGCATGTTTAAAGTTTTGACCCCCCTTGTTAAAGGGGTATGATCCGATTTACAGAAAAAGCGTGCCAGATGAAAGGGGTATATAAATATTTATTATAAAAAACCCAGCACAGGGGGGTCACGGCACAGTGGTGACGTGGCATAGTTGGATCAAGTATAATGATATCTGACAGTGATTAAAATCACTATCAAAAAAAAACGCTTCGATGCAAATCTTTAGATAGTGTTTAATTTTAAAAAAAT